AGAAAAATTGTCAAAAGTGCCAAGAGGTGACTAACATGAGATCCGGAGGAGTGGGCAGGCCCAACGAGTCAAAATGCTATGAAATCCCTGCCTTACCACATACAGGCCAAACCGTGGCAGATACGACTTTTTATCAGAGGAACAAACTTTCTTAGAATGAGCCAAAACCCATAGAAAAATTGTCAAAAGTGCCAGAAGGTGACTAAAATCGGATCTAGAAGAGTAGGCAGGCCCAACGAATCAAGATACTATGAAATCCCTGCCCTACCACTCACAGGCCAAACCGTAGCAGATACGACTTCTTGTCAGAGGAACAAATTTTCTCATAATGGGCCAAAACACCTAGAAAAATTGTCAAAAGTGCTGAAAGGTGGCTAACGTAGGTTCTGGAGGAGTGGGCAGGTTCAACGAGTCCAAATACTACAATACCCCTGCCCTACCACTCACAGGCCAAACCGAGCGAGATACAACTTTTTGTCATAGAAGCAAAGTTTCTTAAAATGGGCCAAAACCCTTAGAAAAATTCTCAAAAGTGCCTAAAGATTGCTAATATAGAAATGAGAGGGTGAGGGAGAGCGAAAGGGAGTTGTCACAAATATAACTGTACGCAAGTTACATATAAATTGTATTTAATGAACATTATTGGATATAAGTGATCTTCGAACGTCCATAAATCTAGAGTTAATCACACAATATACTGATATCCACGACAAAAATGGAACATCCTGTACAATTTTACGCAGCTTGTTGAACGAAGGACAGTTTTGTAATTGTCGCACAGTGGCACGATGATCCAGGAACGTGGTTCCGGCGTCGTATTTCCGGTAGAACACCCACCCATCTTAGGCAGGATGAATACATCGCGTATCTCTTTGCCTAACGCACTTTTATCTCGCGGGAAATGGCTGGTCGTTGGCCCACGTTACTCGTCTCAGATATTGATATTGATTCAACTGTCCCTTGCTTGTTGTGTCGACCGTTCATAGAACCCTCATTTATTTGCCGTTTCATTTTTCTTCCTCGTTTGTGTTTTTCTTTGTGTGTAGTTTACTGCTGTATTGTTATTGTTAAGTACGGCAGGATGGTAGGGTTATTGTTGAGTACGGCAGGAAAAACAAAATGGCGCACTTCTTCATGGGGTGACGCTTTAGATCGTGCTTGGTTTTTCATCTTTTTATGAATGATTGAAGTATAGTTAGGTCTTTAAGCAACTTTGTAATTCGCTTTTATGCAGATATTAGGCAGATCATTTATTATTTTTGAAATATTGGCTAGAATTTTTGCAGGTTCATGATTTAAATGGATTTTTAGGTGTTTGTAGTAGGTGGTTAATTATCTGTAGGGTACTTATTTGGATTCTTTGCAAGTTTGTGGATTTTTAGGTAGATTGTTAGGTATTTTAATGATGGATGGTTAATTATCGTAGGATACTTGGGATTTGCATAGTTTTATGATTTCTGAAACGGATTTATAGGTATTTTTATGATAGATGGTTAATTATCTGTAGGTTACTTACTTGGAGCTTTTGCAATTCTTACGGTAGATGGTTAATTATCTGTAGGGTACTTATTTGGAATTTATACAAGTCTGTAGAACCTTAGATAGATTTGTAGACATTTTTATGATAAATGGTTAATTATCTAGCAGGTGCTTATTTGGAATCTTTGCAAGTTTGTGATATCTTAAATTATTACTGATTTGTATAGTATAATACATGATTGATCATCTTTACGTTATTTACATAGATTTTTCACAACTTTATGATTTCTTAAGTAGACTATTAATTATTTAAATGATAGATAATTAATTACCCCAAAGTTACTTATTTGGAATTTCTGCTGGCTCATGATTTCCTAAGTAGTTCATTAAAACTTTATGTAGTACATCATAAATTATCTTTAAAATATGCATCTGACTTTCTGCAAGTTTATGCTTTCTCAAGTAAATTATTAATTATTTGTATAACAAATGATCAATTATCTTTACAATACTATTCAAATTATTCTGCAAGTATGACATTTGAATTTATGACTGTTTTGTGTAGTAGATTACTAATTAATTATCTTTAGTATGCTTCTCCAGATTCTTTGCAAGTTTATGATTTTTTAATTGTGTTGCAAGTTTATAACTTTTCTTTTATTATAGATGATGAATTTTTAAAACGCTCACCACTTTATTTTCAATTCCAAAATAAAAATACATCAATAATTTAATATTAATTAAATCATAAACAGCTACAAATAATAATTTCACCAAAATACATCAATGTTTTGAAAGAGAAAAAAAAAGGGAAAGTTTTACATCATAAACCTCTGCATAGTCATCATTGACCTTAATTCATCTTTCATCTCTCAGTTTGGAAATCGCACATATGTACGTGTGAACGAAAAAAACAGATAGTATATCTATGTTATTTTCAATCATGTGGAGGTTGTCATTTATTAATGTAGCAGGTCCTTCTTGCCGTTTCTGCGAATGTTGCGATATTAAATCTGGTATTTGAATACTCGTTCGCCGACGCACGAAGACGTATCCTAGCTGTTTGTAGGACGATCGAACATTGACAGACATAAATCTTGAAAAATCCTTGTCGAGTCTAATGGAAATCTCAGAACACCAATTTAATATTTCAAGATATTCAATTTTTATTGTCAACTTTGGGTATTTATAATATTGCGTTATTAGCATTTATTTGCTATATTGCAATTTTTGAGTGAATGAGGTAATGAGGTAAATTTGAAAATTTATAGGTATTTTCTATTTTGGTAATTATAGGTTCTTTAATTTTGTAAATTGCTAAATTTAGAGGAGTATTTTTTTTAAGTTTCAAATTTAAGATTTTTCAAATTAACAAATTTTCTAATTTCAAAGTGTTTTAAGTAATTTATATAGTAATTTTTAAGTAATTTATGTAGTGATTTTTAAGTAATTTATGTAGTAATTTTTAGCAGTTTATATATTACTAAATTTTGTAAGTTTCAAACTTTCAAATGATAAAATTTTAAATTTTCTGAAGTTTCAAATTTTGAAAACTTCCTAAATCTTCAAATTACCATAATTCTCTAGATTTTAAAAATTTATAAATTTTCCTAACTTCAAATTTAAAAAATTCCTTGATTGTGAAATTTGTGTATTTTCAAATATTCTAGTCTCAAAATTTCCAAATTCCCAAATTTTGAAATTTCTAAATATCAAAATCCCTAGATTTCCCCAACTTCAAAAGCTAAATTCCCCAAATCCCAAGTATCCCAAATTTAGAAATTTTTAATCTATCAAATTCCTAAATTTTCAAATATGCAAACTACCATATTTGCTTAACTCCAAATCCTTAATTTCCTAGATTCCAAGTATCCCAACAAAAACCCCAAATTTCCAAATTACTAAATTTCTAAATTTTCACATTTTCCCAACTCCAAATCCTAAATTTCCCAGATCTCAAATATCTCAACTTTACATAACCCTAAATTTCCAAATTTTCCCATTTCCCCAATCCCAAATCACAAAATCTCCAGATCTCAAGTGTCCCAACTTTACAAAACCCCAAATTTTTAAATATCCCCCATTTTTCAATCCCAAACCCTAAATTCCCCAAATCTCAAGTGTCCCAACTTTACAAAACCCTAAATTTGTAAATTATCAAATTTCTAAATTTCCTCATTTTCCCAACCCCAAATCTTAAAGTCCCAATCTCCCAAATATCCCAAATTTCCAACCCCCTTAAAATTCAACCTCAACAAACATTTCTTCCTTATACATATATCTGCCACATTTTCCCTAGGGATGCCAGATTTGCTCACGACTGTACTTACCTTACATGCGTTTGTACTACGTGGAGGTAAGAAAGGAGGAAGTAAGTAGGTTTGCCTGCATTCTATTCCTCGAATTCCTGTGTTTTATCCGCTTCAAAATTCTTTCAGAGTCGTGCTTACGTCATCGAACCTCCATATCCGTAGGATACAGCAATCCCGTTGGGAACGCGAAGCACCCATAAAAATGAAACAGAAAATTCCCTGCCAGTTTTCAACAACCGTACGCCGGTGTATACATATCACAAAAGCAAACATCTAAAAATACAATTCGTATATTGCTGATCAGAACCATTATTCTGAGTTCATTTCATTTTTAAATATGTGGAAGATCTTTTGAAAACGTTGTTGGATTCTTCTTTCGATATATGGCATGAAAATTCATAAAATTCACCAAAATTTATTGATCGTGGAGGAACAATTCTGTGGTGAAAGATTTTGCTATTTTTATTTTTACAATGGTTTAATACTGCTTTTATAGAAAATGTTTGTATGGAAAATTTTTTTGTGAAAAATGGGTTGAAGAAGAGGAATTGTAAGAGAATTGTTTGTTTAGTTGTTAGATGCTGTAGAAATTATTTGACTAATTACAGTAACTTATTTTACTAAGGAGAACAGCAATTTATCATTAATTGTTTTACTGCAATATAGTGAGAGGAAGGTTTTTTTGATGAGGTTTTAACAATGTTCAAATTTTTGTTAATTTACTATCATATTTTTTATATGGTGGTTTCTAATTATTTAAAATAATTTGTGAAATCAATTGAGGCGAATGTGAAATATATTTAGAGGTGATTTAACATTTCTACATTATCAAATTTCCAACTTTTAATTTCTAAATTTCAAAGCTTCCACATTTTACAAATATCTAGGTATTTAAATTTCCATGTTTTTAAATTGTCGAATTTTCAAATTTGTATGTTTTAAAATTACTGAAGCTGAAAACTTAAGAACCCCAAATCTTCTAAAACTCAGACTCCACTTTCCCATCTCTCCATAAACATTAAAGAGCACAAAAATCGTGAAGTTTCCATATATGTGTCATTCACAGTAAAGCTACGTTGCACCCGAGTGTACGATCTACTCTCGGCGAGTTTCCCGCTAAAAGGAGAGGGCGAACGCGACGCGAAGGCAAGGGCGAAGGGTGGGGGTATATGGTGGGTCCTCAAAGGAAAGCATCGTCAGTCGCGCGGCATGCGGCGCACCGTACGCGTGGGTATTTTTTGTGTCGTCTTGAACGCGGTGCGAAAAGAAAAAAACTCTCCCTTCCGTTCTGTTCGCAACTGTTGCACAGCTGATCGTCGCCGGTGATCGGGATTAGTGTACACTCGGTAAGGTTCATTTGAAAGTACCGGTACGTTTAATACGCGACGGCAACTTGTGTCCGAAACTTTAGTGTCCCGGATTATCGGAGTCTTTCACTATGTTCTGTCCGCCGTTCGATCATGCGTGGTTGTGAGAAACTACAGTGTGTTCACGTGCACCCACTGAAACCGTACAAGGACTCCGGCCTGAGAAATTGTTACTCGGATGAACTTCTTCGAGAAAGGTTTCTCCTTTTAATGGGATAGAACTTCTTAACACAGACTTTGTCTGTGACGCACGTGCGTCCTAAAGAATTCAGTTGGCGGTAATTTACGAGCGATTTAAAACTTACACCGGGTAGATGTTCTGAGTGTAGTCGGGAGATAATTTTGTTATTGTTCCACGTTCTTGGTACATATGTCGAGCAGCCATTTCCGTTTGCATCGAGCTCGTATCGACGTACAAAATTGGAGCTAATTACCGTGAATCATTTACGTTCGGGGTGAAACTCTATACGCTTTATGTGCAACTCGCTTTTGATGGCAGCTTAACGGTTCCGCGATCCTCAGACACAAAGTTAATTCTGGGCTGAACGTGGCTTTATCTGATTCATGTGCTCGCTGTTTAATATATCAGTTCGGTTTTGATTAATATAACGAACGGACATGTTAGTTTTAATGTTTCAGTTTTTGTGGAGAGGTATGGCCTTTTTTTGACAGGTCGCATACGGTTTGTCATGTAATCAGGTTATGACACACCTGGTGCGTCCTGGAGTCGATCGTGTATGTAGAATATGACGCACGTGGTGTATCGAGTAAATTGCATTAATAGATACACTGTTAGTTATATAATATGTATAGAACGTGACGCACAGGGTGCGTCATGAGTTTGTGTATATAGTACATGACGCACGTGATGTGTCAAGTAAATTAAATCAATAAATCTATTGCTTATTATATTACATATGGTAAGCATGACGCACCATGTGTGTCGTGCGTCCACTTCAATAAAGAGAGCATAATATATGTAGTATATAGCCGATTAAATAAAAATGGAACATTATGACACACTTGGTGGGTCGATTGCATATGTAGAATATGACGCACGTGGTGTGTTAAGAAAATTGCATTGACATTGTTAGTTGTATAACATATATAGAATATGACGCACTGGGTGTGTCATGACTTCGGTTCTGTACGTAATACATGACAGACATGATGTGTCAAGTAAATTAAATCAGTACATGCGTTGTCAATTGTATGATATACAGAACGTGACGCACGTGGTGTGTCATCAAGTTGCATTGCCATGACACACATGGTGTGTCAATTGTATACATAGAATTTGACGTATGCAGTGATATATGTATTTGATATTCCATTCATATCAAATTGAATGCATATGCTATGACGCATGTGGTGCGTCTTTTATCAAATTGCATATGGGCAGTATGTGACACACATGGTGTGTCCTTTATCAAATTGAATATAGGTAATAGATGACGCACATGGTGCGTCTTTTATCAAATTGCATATAAGTAATATATGACACACATGGTGCGTCATTTATCAAATTTTATATAGGTAATATATGACACACGTGGTGCGTCATACCATAATTTCACATGTAAAGTCGTCGATTAATTTGCACTGGAAGAATATGACACAACAGGTGCGTCGTACAATGAATGCTATGCACTTAACATGATACACGTGCCGTGTCACTCATGAAATTGCATGGATAGATATAATAATGACCGATTAATTTGAATGAATAAAATATGACTGGTTAGTAGCAGCTGGTTGTACAATGAATCCTATACACACAATATAACTCACATGGTCCATCAAATAACACAAATAGAATACAATAATCATTGATTAAATTGCATAGACGCAATACGACGCAAGTGGTGCGTCATACACAGACCACGACACATATGGTGCGTCATTTTTGAAAGATGTTCTAAAGCACGAAATCTTTCAGCCCGAAAATCCGATGCATTAAAAATAAATGTTTACACGTCACTTCTACGAACTCTCGGGGTATTGCACTATGACAAAAAAGCGTTGTCGTACCCAGGTCTAATTTTAGCCCTCTAGACTCAAAGAAAAATTGATCGCTGTGTCTGCGAACGGGTCTGCTCGATGAATTCCATCCTCATTCTCAACATTACAAATCCGAATCACGCGAGAACGTTATCGTAAATAATTAATTGATTTCGCTACGTCCGAGCGAAATAACGACGGACACAATTTATCTGCATTATTTAAGGCCACCGATACAACCGTTCGGAATATTTTGCCATTTGATCGATCGGCACGAGTCAATTATTAGCCAAGAATCCGATTAATCGTTACGTATCGGTGTTAGAATGAATCGGGAACACGGTTCATTCATCCTTTTTTTAATCGTAATTTCCTGGCGGTGGGTTATATCGTTACCTCCCATCGAGTTCCAAGCAGAAACGCGCTCGCTAAACAAAGAATCTTTTCATAACGGACGACAATTTCTCGGGCTGCGATTACTCGGCGAAACTCGTTTTATTAATGGCGTTATATAGACATTCCTGTGTCTGGGTATTTCGGTTACGGACGCAGAAATTACTAGGAGGACGCGCCTGTTTCGCCCGCTGACTCAAGAATTCAGTTTTTAGATAATTAAATTTCATATTAGATATATTAGCATCTTTATTACACTTTAACCTCAACCTTAAAGCACTACCACTTTTCAAATATTTTTATTTAGGTACTAAAAAATATTAAGAGCAAAACTATCAGCTTTTGAACATGTGGGTCCAATATCCACATGTGGACATCAAGTTTCTCAAATTGTTATTCAAGGTTAAGTTATCTTGTTTATTCAAATGGTGTCTTGAACTTTTAGAAAATGAAATTTCATGTTAGAAATATTAGCATTTTTATTACATTTTAATCTCAAGCTTATTTCAAGGTACCACCATTTTTATTTAAGTGTCAAAAAATATTTTGAGCAAAACTATCAGCCTTTGAATCCACATGTGGATATTAAGTTTCTTAAATTCTTATTCAAAGTTAAGGTTATCTTGTTTATTCAAACGGTATCTTGAACTTTATAAGATTACTGACTCAAGAACAATTGTGTAACCTTCGGGTGACCTTGAAGTCACAAACTTATTGGTCAAAGTTTCAAAGCTTTGATCAAGGTTATTGCAAGCTTATGATTCATTGTAACTGTACAAAACAATGTTATCATTATCGTTCGATTTATAAACTTATTCAACGGCAGATGTTCATGAATTTATGATAAAGCGAAGTCCATAAAATTTACGCAAGTCGTGCATTTTTCTAGAGTTTCATACTTTTTGTATTTTTTAGAACTTTTGTGCTTTATGTGAATGTGTATAGTTCAATAATGTGAATTATTCAATAGTGTAAAATAATAAAATATAATTTTTAGATACACGTATATTTTGATTTTCATACATTATAAATACATAAACATCCTCATCTTACTAGCTTAGCAGGTTTATAATTAGTTCTGTACAAATTGATCGAACTAAAGAATTTTCTATCAATCAAGATCATCTCAAGGTCACAGTATAATTGATCGTTGATCTTGACGTCAGCTACAACCTTGCGAAGTCTAAAATGTACAGTATCAAAAAGGTAACGTGACAATTGTGACTGAAACAAAAATGTTAAATGAAAGAGCAACAATGACAACTACAGATCATAGTTTCCACAACAATTTAACCTTCGACAATTATCAAGGGTGTAAATCCCATTCGCATAGTGCACAAATCAAAATCTTGTCCTGTATGTTACTGTCGACATTCGCCCATAACTCCAACCACATATGTACAGCCTTTGACATTAATCCTTGTAATGCACTCAACGAGCATTAACGTTGATACAGGGTGTTTCATATTAAACGACAGTAAATTTCGAGTAAAAATATTCACACACGTGTTCGATTACCCACATGTGGAGCTGCAGCTGTTCGAATGTTACTCATAAAAGGCCCACAAAATGCATCAAGGGAAAATGACTAATCGTTTACCGAATGCTAAACGATATAAAACGCAAGAATAATTTACAACGATTCGAGGTAATAGTTCAAAAATCCCGCCATGAACTTCGATGCACTTTTTAACTCTGTTCGCGATAGTGCGTGTAGCTCATCCGGGGTCATCTTCGCGTTCTTTTACGAGGGCAGCACTGTTCACAATGCGAGCGACCGATTCTCGTGTTTATTTTACTTTGTAAACTTCGCTTTTCATCCACGGACAAAAATCTGAAGGGTTCGGGACCTCGGTGGCCAACGAATGTTGGTTATATGGCCGTAGCACGTGCGTTGATAATCGGACACGTGTTTATATACAAATTTTTACTTGGTCCATACTGAAATGCGTAAATGAGAAACCTGAAGTGAAGCACCCTGTACACCTTAGACCACGAGTACGTTATACCTCTTTGACCATCTTAGCATTTCATCTCTGTTCATTCGTTTGAGCCTACATGTGTTAATAAACGTTTATACAAAAATTTGTTCTCGAAATGCAGTTTTATAACACATGTTTCTCTTGAGTACCTGAATGGAAAGAATGAATCAATCAACGAAAACAAGTCTTTGTTACATGGTCCAAATCGGTGCACTATCGGCTAGACTTCACGGTTCTTTGACTGTGTCGCTTTTATCTATCTCGTCAGGTCGTATTTACAAGTATGCCGCGTCAACGACCTGGCACTTTGTGATTAACGAACGATTTGTTTGTACAACGCGTTTCCTCTTTTCCAGGGACTCGTTGCGAAAAAGTGTAGCCATCGAAGTGCCGTCCAATCGTCGGACGAGTAATCGGAAGGAAAGCAGCGAGAGAGGAAACCTCGGGGATTAATTTGCGCGAAGGGCAGCCGATAAAAGAGAATAAAGCGACGACTCGTGAAACGTGTTCCTCGAAAGCACCGGAAGCACGAACGTGCCCGAGATTCTTCGACCGCCCTTGAATCCAACTGTCCCAGGATTACAGAGACATGATACATCGTGGAACCGTGTCATACGCAGGCTACATCGAACCGGAAATGTGGCAAGCCTGTACCGCGAACTTTCAACTGTCCTACAGATCGCCGATTTGAACAGTAAGTGATCTTTGATTAGCATGCTAGATTTTCATATGTGAAGCCTTGAAGTCGAAAAGTTAAATTTAAAAGTAAAATTTAATTTGAAATTACTAAAATTCAAGTTATATAAACTTAAAATTTATGAAAGTAACAAATGTTTATTATACTAAAGGTCTAAGATGTTAGTCATAAAATCTGTGATATCCAAAATTCAAAAATATCATCATTTTATAAGTTTCAAAATAAATATCAGGTGGTTTAAATTGTTTGCATTTTCTGTTCTGACTGAATGTCTTAAATTTATTTCGTTAAGTTTGCAATTGTCAAATTTCTTAAGTTTTATCAAAATTTTAAGAATTCTTAACTTTCACAATTTTTAAAGTATCAAATCCAAAATTGAGAAGTTTTAAAGTACCAAACTTCCAAAACTGCAGTAGTTGCACAAACTACTAAAAAATAAGTAATTTTAAAATTCCAATATTCCAAAATTTTAAAATACTCAAATCTAAAATTTGAAAATTGCAAACTTAACAGATTTCAAACTTCTAAAATAACAAAATTGCAACAGTTTTCAAGTTTCAAAATAGCAAACTCCAAATAGTCTCAAAATTCCAATATTCAAAAATTTTATTGTAACACACTAAAAAGATTTAAAATCTCAAAAATTGTAGTAGTCAAAAAAATTGCAATAGTTCAAATTCCCAAATTGTCAAAATCTCAAAACACTAAAATGACAAAGTCCCAAAATCCCAAAAACCCAACTTTTGTTATTACAAAAGTCCCAAAATACCAAAACCCTACTTTTGTTATTACAAAAGTCCCAAAATACCAAAACCCTACTTTTGTTATTACAAAAGTTCCAAAATCCCAAAACCCTAAAATAAAAGTCTCAAAATCCTAAATCCTTAAAATGGGAAAAGTCCCAGTATCCCAAAATCCTGAAATAGCAATAGTCGCAAAATCCCAAAACTCTGAAAGAACAAAAGTCCCAAAAACTCAAAATCCTAAAATAATAAGTCCAAAAATCCCGAAACCCTAAAATAACAAAGGTCCCAAAATCCCACAACCCTAAGAAAATAAAAGTCCCAAAATCCCAAAACCCTAAGATAATAAAAGTCCTAAAATCCCAAAACCCTGAAATAAAAGTCAAAATCCCAGAACCCTAAAATAAAAGTCCCAAAATCCCAAAACTTTAAAACAGCAAAATTCCCAAAATCTCAAAAGCCTAAAATAACAAAAGTCCCAAAATCCCAAAACACCAAAAGTCCCAACATCATAACAGTTCCAAAGTTCAAAGAGTATCTAACTTACAGCTTAAAAACATTCGTACTGAATACCCGTTTACGAGCGAATCGAGAATCACCAACTATTTTGACAACGGTTACGTATCTTCCATTATGTATAAAATTCGAGCGAAAACAGCGTCGAAGTTCTGAATTAACGAGCCACTCGCACGCTGCACGTTTCAAAAGCACAAATCCAAACAGCACGAGTGTAGAAGTTATCAAGCGGCTGGCTTCGATCGAACCGAATCGCATCCGAAAGTTTTGATAGCAGAAGAGAACGGAAATTTGTGAATGGGTACACGGATAAAAGCAACGAACGTAAACGCCTAGTAATTTCCGACTTCCTGCCTCGGTTTTTTTCTGAAACGTGACTAACGTTCGAACCGCAGCGGCGTAAAATCATTAGAAATCAACCATGACTCGTTTGGCGTTCAACAAATACTTCTTTTTTTGCGTGAAAGTCGATTAAAAGGGAAACAAAAAAAAACACTTCATAATTAACAGCTGTTTAGAATTTCCTGTTTCTGAAGTCGGTGCATTTAACATTTTTTAGCTCCATATTTCCTCAATTAAACAGCTGTTAATATTTACCGCGATTAAAAAGTTTCCTCTTGGTATGATAAAGATTTACCGAGATTCAATTAGATATTCGAAGAAAAACTGATTCATGGGGAGCAGAGAATTTCCTATGACTTGTAATATTAAATAATAAACGAAACTACTTGTAACCGGTAAGAGGAACTCCGTGCAATGACTCGCAGGTTTTAGAGTGACTCAAGCTTATAACACGAGTGCTTTTTGTCGAAGTTAGGAGTCTTATAGATTTTTAATTGAAACAACTTCTCTTTAATAGAGCATGCAATGTTATACAGTGTATGACGCACCAGGTGTGTCATGTGAATTATGTATAGCGCACCAGGTGTGTCTTACGCAGAGTACATGACGCATCGTGAATTATACACTTAGAGTACTTCTAACAAGGTTCTATATTATGCAAGGTTTAGTGCTTTACATAGTTAGTGTACGACGCACCAGGTGTGTCATGTGATGATGCATGACGCGCCGGGTGCGTCGTACGCATATTCACGACGCACCGCGAATACACTTACAGTACTACTAACAAGGTTCTATAATATTATGTAAGGTTTAGTGCTTTATATAGTTAGCATACGACGCACCCGGTGCGTCACATAAGTTATATTAGGTTCACAGCATCATGTGAATAGTAGATGCATGTTGTATAACAAATAGTGTTATACGAACCTTCACAATTAGCAATATTTTATGCCCACATTATACAATGCAGAATGCATTATGCATACCATACGACGCACCAGATGCGTCATGTACATTGTAATTGTACACTGTAAATGTATATTATATATGACGCACTGGATGCGTCATTTTATACGTACTAAACAGCTGTTAATATTTACCGCAATTTGGTAAATATTACTCTTATACATAAAAGTGTTACGAGCAGATTATGTGCGTTATATGTATAGCAGACGCACCAGATGCGTCATATATATAGTACACGACGCAATGTACACTTTACACATACTGTATAATGAGTAATGTGTATTTACATTATACAATGCAGGACGCATCATATGCACAGTGTGCGACGCACCCGGTGTGTCATACAAATAATGACACACATGGTGCGTCATATAGTTAGTAGACACGATACACATTATATGCATACTGTATAGCGAAGAGTGTGTTATCTGTAAAGTGTACGACGCATAGTACACGACATATAGAGTATTAAACATACGATGTACGACGCACCTGGTGTGTCATATGAATGCTACATGACGCACCTGATGCGTCATACTCTCAATACACGACATAATGTAAATTATACTCATACTGTAGAACGAACTGTGTTTCACATGTTAAGTATACAATACATAGTGCCTTATATGCATAGTATGCAACGCACTCGGTGCGTCATACGAATAATGTAACACACATGGTGCGTCATATACTTAGTAGACGCGATTTACGTTATACGCATACTGTATTAGCGAAGAGTGTGTTACCTCTAAAGTATACGATGCATAGTACATGATGTATAGAGTACTATATGTATCGTATACGACGCACCTGGTGTGTCATATCAATGCTTACGTGACGTACCTGGTGTGTCAAGAATGTTACGTGACGCACCTGACGCGTCATACTCTCCATACACAACATAAAGTACATTATACTCATACTGCAGAACTGTGTTTCACATGTTAAGTAGCATAGTGCATTACATGCATAGTACACGACGCATCCGTTGTGTCATACGAATGAACCGCGACACACCCGGTGCGTCATGCGAGTGCACCTGTTGCATTATACGCGTGAAATGTATAAAACTCAACCGATAACGGTTAATAATCGTTACAGGTCGGCGGATGGACGTGGTAGCAGCCGGGAAGTCCGAACACGGAGGAAAGCACGAACCGGGAATCCGTCGTCATCGACGTCGACGTCGTAGGAACGGCAAGTTGACAGAGGTCGGCAGTAGGTTTGCGCGCAGGAAACGAGAACGGAAGAAGAGCGAGAGGGAGGGGGTTTGCACGATCAACCACAAGGAAAAAAGTGTGCACCGTGTGGCATTGAGTAAACCGTGGACCTCCTAGGAAGGCCGCTTCGGACGCGTCCTCTTTGTGTTCCGATCCTATCACTACCATCGGTACTGTGATATTCCTTCTTCTTCTTTTTCTTCTTCGCGTTCGCTCGTCATTTTGCCCCGCGAAGCAAAAGAAAGCGTGTCCCGTAGAGCGGAAGTATGCTGCCAGCCTCTGTAATCGCGTGTGCCGAGCTCTAACAAGGGTGGTTCCGTTTGTCAGAGATTTCGTGTGCAGACACGTGGTGCGTGTAATATAACGAGTGAGAATATCGGTGCTAGTTTTATTAAGAAGAATCGTGCAAGATGATACTGCTTCGGACCACGCTGATTGTGCTATGCTCTGTGTTGGCTGCCGGGGCACCCAGACCCTCCGTCATCTACGCGGACGAGACAGTGGTGAGTGCAGACATTTTTTTTTACTTATTCTCATTTTGAATGCTGCGGGTACAATAGAATTTCAAATTAAAGAATAAAAATTCTGACGCTGTTAGGTTATCTGCGATTAAAACTCAAGATGAACTCTGAATTTACATCTAAAATAAAATTTAATTTAGTTGCAAATTACTTATTTAAATTTACTAGTTTAGTAAAGAAATTTGAAGCTACAAAAAACTTAGAAATTTTACAATATAAAATTGTATGCTTTAGACACGTGTCACTATGTTCAAGTCATCTGAATCATTCTACATCACTTGTTTTATAAGATGAATTATTTTGTTATAAAACAGTGACTAGTTTCATAAAACTAATTATTGTGAAACAATGGAGATTTCTTTTCTCCAATTTATTGTTAGAAGTAATATAGATTAAATGAAATGTGGAGAGCTCAGTTGAAATAGAAAGCTTTAAGTGAGTCACGCGTGTCCATTCAAACTGCTCTATATTTTCCCGCGAGAAAATTATCCTCGGATTAGCTCCGAGAAATATGGAGGTCCAGAGCGTAATACTTCATCGTGTCTTCGTAATTCACCAACTATTCCGGATTAAGCGGAATAAAGGAAAGGTGATGTGGAGGGAAGGAGGAATAGTAACGAGTCAACGCGCCATAATTTAAAGTCGGGTCACCGAACACGCTAATTGTTTCACGAATAATAGAATGGCTTCCACGGTTTTCATGAAATGGCTAGAAAACTTGGGCTTTTGATCCGAGAGTTAGCGATGCTTTAATTGAAATATTTCATAAAGTTCGTATCAATTCAGACAATTTTTATTGATAAATAAAAATTAAATTTAAATAATACTTAAATAATAATAATAATTATCAGGGAGATTGTTTTTTTGTCTCAAAGCAAATCAATAAGTTTTATAATAAATTTTTAAATTAAATAATAGAATGTTCACTCTTAATTTTTATTATATTGAAAACAAAATCAAATGTCAGCAAGAATAAGAAAATGAAGTGAAAGTAGATATAAAGTTGTAATTTAACATTTTTGTTTGGTTAATGACAGTGGCGCCTTCTGCGTCAGCCATCTTGAAATTTAGATCACCGGAAAAAGGAGTGGATTCAAACTCTTCTTGTATCTTTCAAAAGATAAATTGTTGCTATTTTAAACTTACACGTGTATAATAATTGAATAACTGTATTAAAATTTAATATTGCTACTTTTTTACTAGAAAAACAAATCAATATTAAAGTCTGTAATATATGATAGCTACTTTAAATGTTTTAAAATTCTGATTGATTTTAATATTTTGTTAAACAAATTTTAGTGCAGAACTTATATAATTATAATTAAAGATAACTTTATGAGTAAAGATTCACTTTTATGATTATTGTGTAATTTTCAAACGAAACTTCATTGTTAATGTTTGTTGCTCATCGACGTCGATGCGAAGTTTTCCTTTTTTAGTAACGCTTCGCTTTCCTTTGTGCATCGATACACGTGGCAGTGACTTCATTCTATACTTTTACTGATAATAGAATATTGCATAGTTATTCCATGATTAGAACGTGACTTATCAACTCTGCACTTTGTTTTCTTATTGAATATCATTCGATTTAATTAATTATGACTCATATGAAACTGTAACTTATCCATTGTCTATAAATTGGAGTCATGAGATTATGCGTTTAATTTATTTCAAGTTAATTTACTACAAATTTATTGCATATACATATTTATTTCTGAATATGTGTTGCAATATATGTACATGTATATTTATTGTTACAAATGTATTGCAATAAATAATAAGTATTATAAAATGTATATATAATATATTCAATATATTTTTTGCAATATTTATATGCAATGTATGCAATGTAACATATGTGTAATTTTCATTTCAACATATGTGTAATATATGTATACCATACATATGTTATATTATATAATTTATTTAATTTGACACATATACAATTTATTTATTTCAAAACATCTGTAACATACATAGTAAAATTGTAACATATAACATACATGTAATATATTAATCTTAATACATGTATGATACATGTGATAAATTTATTATAACATACATGTAATATATGCAATATTTTTATTGTAATACATGTACATACATATAATATGATTTATTACACTATATGTGTAATATATGTAACATATATGTTATAACATGAGTTCAACATACTCAATACTTTATTAAAATACATATGCAGTATATATATGTATAATGTGGTTTATTATAACATATGCTTAATATATGCAATGTATATATTGTAACGTGAGTTCAACATATTCAATACATTTATTAAAATACATATGCAATATACACATGTATAATGTGACTTATTACTACATATGTATAATATATGCAACACATATATTGTAACATGAGTTTAACATACTCAATACATTTATAACAACACATATGTAGTATATACAATATGTTCAACATAACATACAAAAACAAAATCATAAAAAGAATCTCACACCCATACAATTAGTCCAACCATGACCAACCACATCAAAAACGTTAAACATCTCCATACAGCCATCATACCCATTCTCTAAAACGACAAAGTCGATTCATTCAAAAAAAACTTCTCGCGTTTCCATTATGTTGTCCATAGCCCGTAGCGTAAGCATTATGCGAGCAAGTTTAAACACGATTATCCTAAGTACGAATTAGTGCCCGAGCCATGTACCAGCCTCCATATTTCACACTTACGCGTGATCCCCGTGCCATGTGTGTGGGTGTTTGCGGAGTTATTTCACGCGTGTGTCACAAACAGAGCTATTCCTCCGATGTGTGCCGAGGATGACTAACAATAAGAAGCAGGGTCGATTCCGTGTGCGAAAGTCTCGTATATCGACTGCTTTCGGCAGTGCTGGATTAATACATAAGCACGGTGCACCATGGTACATGGAGTCAAAGACACCGTAGAACTCTGTCGCTATTTTATATTGAACATAAATTTCATTTTATGATTCTTTTTTTATTACACTATTAAGTTCTTGGTTTGACATCGAGACTTGTGACGTATGTTAGAGTTCATATGTGACATACGTTAGAGTTCATAT